TCACAGCGAACCTAGAAATTTTATAGCCACTTTTGAAGGAGCTGTGTCTTTGCTCCGGAAAGTGTTATTGGGCATGTTAAAGCTGTAAAGATATGCTTCTTCTAAAAATTTTTTTTAAAATGGCATTAAAAATGTAGGAAACAGCATATGTTAAAGTGAAATGGAGATGTTCTTTAAAGGGTAAAAACTCATTCAATTTTATGTCTTACAGGGCTTATACCGAGTTCAATATTCTATAACTGTATTAATTCAACTGTAAACCTAAAAATTCACAGCCAGTTTTGAAAGAGATGCATCTTTGCTCTGGAATGTGTTACTGAATATGTTAAAGCTATAATGAAATGCTTCTAATCATGTGGTTATTAAATTTAAGAATTTTTTTTAAATTACAGCTTATGGGGCATAATCCAACACCATGGGAGGTAGATGAAGACTTTGTTAGCTCCTTTAATAATGTACAAAGCTTTAGTGAAGAAAGTCTTTGGTTTAGTTTCTACCATGTCATCATCCAGGGATTGTGTGTGCTGAGGTCTAAACTCTTCAAAATACCTTAGAATGTATTACTGAAATGTCGGGAACCACTTTTCTTTCATTCTGTGAACTAATAATATAAAAGGACAGCCTTCAGCCCATTAGTTCTTCCAAAGTTGCAGAAAACTTTTCATACAGTGGTGACAAGCCAAAGGAAACAGCAACTGTGAGGACGATTAACATTTTCTTGGGCCAAGGAAGGAAGTCTAGTGCAGCTCATTATTTATAAATTGATTTTTATAGGAATGACTTATAAAGAGACATAACTTGGACTAATGACTTTTAATTAACCCTAGTACGTTAAAAAATGTGCTCTTTTGTCTTGTGACCTGGGCAACCTCAATTTGGTGCTCCACCCAAAAAGAGAATGAATGAATGAATGAATGAATGAGTGAATGTGGGTCTGCTTGAGAATTAACAAATCAAAGCACTGAAAGCACACCCACCCCCATTGTACACAGTGGAAACTGGGAATTGGGAAGGCCAAGTGAATGAGATATTCTATAATAAAGGATGAAAAGACCAGATGGGCTATTAAAATGAGCGAGGAACCAACCTTGTCCATCCCCACTTGGCAGCTGGAGAAAACATTTTGAATGGGGCCAGGCTCAAGGACACAGTTCCAGGGTGGAGTTCCAGCAGGGAAATTCCATCAGTGCAGTTCCAGAAGAGGAATGGCTCCAAGAGATCTCTAGGGGAACATGTGTCCTCTGAGTTCAGACCAACCCACTCTTAAAAACTAAATTTTAGAGTCAGGCCTTTTATTTGTTATAATGTTAGCGTAGTAATGTCACAGATTTTAAAGAAAGCCAGCCAGAGAACTGCTTCGAAGGTCATGGAGAGTTGCAAGGCTTTGATCAATCTTGAGACACAAGTCAAACAGAGGAGAACAGGATTTTTTTCAGGTAAAATTCTGGACTGTATAAGTATGATTGCTGTACTTGCACCCGTCTTACCATAACTATCTACAGCATATAACATAACATTCTGAGACTCCGATGCTCTCGAAAAACAAAGACTAAGTCAGGAGCTTGAGTGGGGAAAGTGTACTAGAAATGAATTTAGGGACTGGGAACAGAGACTTGAAAAGAGTGAACTATAAGGAGGAAAAAGCCAGCATAAAATGAGGGCGTCCCTCCGAGCTGGCACTGTGGCGATGATGTCACTGTAAGAAGCTGGAGAGAAAGTTCGCATTAATTCCCACGCAAGGCAGGAGCATTTTATTGGCTTCCCTTGCTGTTGACTGGTTGTCAATCAACAAAGGGGATTAAATCCCTCACAACTGCAGGTGTTCGTGCACATGCAAACCCATAGTGGCTCCAGGTCTGCTCGGCCTCCGCAGTAGGAAAGGCCTGCGAGGGACAGTCAGTTTTGAAACTGGCTGAAACAGTGTGGCTCATTGTGGTTAGAGAAGTGGAGGAGGCGCAGCCACCGACGCCGGGGCCGTCAGGTAAGCGCTGCCCATTCACTTCCGCAAGACCGCTGTGTTTTTCAAACATGTTTACCACGAGAAATCAGCTTATATACAAGTTTAACGGAGTAAAAGGGTTAAACAGAATGTAGGTCTGCATAAACACTGCCCTTCTGGGGTTTTGAGAGTTTGTTATATAATCTGAATAAATGTCCATTATTACTATATGTAACTGGAAAATATTTCTCCTGGCCTAGAGGCTGCATTTTCATACTCTTAACAGGATCAATAAAGATGAGAATTTTTTTTTTATTTTGACGAAATCCAGTTACCAACTTGTCCCTTCATGAATGTTGTGTTTGGTATTAAGAAAAATCTGTCTAACCTAAAATTTCATACTTTGTCAGATTTGGTCTAAAAGGTTTTGAAGTTTCAGGTTTTACATTGTATGTATCCATTCATTATGAGTTCGTTTTTGCATAGGAGCAGAAGTTCATCCTTTGGTACAGACTTCAACCATCTCTGCACCACTTGTTGAAGACACTCTCCTTGCTGTACCCAATTATGTTTGTGCCTTGCTGCAAACAGATGTCTACAAGTCTCTTCTCAATTGTGGATGCCAGTGACCTAATTGTCTACCTTTATGCCAACACCAAATTATCTTAATAAAAGTAAATTTATATGTCTCTAGACCAGATATGGTTAGTCCGCCAACTTTGTTCCTCAGAGTTATTTTGACTATCCAATATCCTTTGTATTTTGATATGAATTTTAAAATAATTTTATCAGTGCCTGAAGAAAAAAAAATAGAATTTTTATTGGTTTTATATTGAATCCATAGATCAGTTTAGAGAGAACTGACATCTTAACAATACTGAATCATCCAACCCAAGAATATAGGTATATCTTTCATTATTTTAAAAATTTAAGGAAAATGTGTACAGGCACTTCAACAGAGAAGATACATGGATGGTAACACAGGAAGATGTTACACCCTTAGTCATTACGTGGAAATTAAACACACATGACATACCATCAAAGCCCATCTAGATTGCTAAAAGGAAAGAAACCGACCATACTAAGTGTTAGCAAGGAGGTGACTGAAAGCAAATCCCCAAATACCGTTATTATGAATATAAAACAGCACAGCACACTGAAGAATGCTGCAATCGTTCTTAAAAAGTTAGATACAACTCCGATAATGAACTAGTTATTTCTCTCCTAGCATCTGCCCAATAGAAATAAAAACAAATTTTCATATAATATCAATATGATCCTCACAGCAGCTTGGTTTGCATATACAGTGTGTGTGTGTGTGTGTGTGTGTGTGTGTGTGTGTGAATGAGAACACACGTGTACCACAGGATGATGATGGAGATTGGAGGACACCCTGAGGTGTCATCCCTCGCCTTCCTCCTCATTTAAGGTAGGGTCTCCTGTTTTTCTATGGCTGCATTTGCAGTGTTAGCTGGCCTGAGAGCTTCTCCCCACAGGGGCACTGGAATTACACATGCCTGCATCACCTGCCCATGTTTATGTGAGTTCTGGGGACTCAAACTCAGACACTCATCCTTGCACAGCAGGTAATTTAACCCACTGAGCCATCTCCCCAGCCCAGAAGCTTTCTTTTCAATAGACAATTCCTGAAAAAAATCTATATCCATAAATATTTCACAATGAAAACACAAACTATGACGTGTTACAGTGTGGGTGAACTTCAAAGTAATTATACTAAAGAGAGAAAATGTCATAGGAAAGTACGTAGAAAACAAAACCAGAGCTACAGTGACAGAAAGCAGACCACAGGGGCCTGACGGGGAGAGAAGGAAAGGACAGAAGGGGGAAGACAGGGAACACCAGGAGAAGGAGGCACTGTGTGTGGGGGAACCTTCACTGTCTTGAAAATGGAGATGATTCCGTGGTGACTAGTCAAAACTCACCACACTGTACACTTTAAATGTGTTTGTCTTACTGTGGCAATTATACACCAATAAAGCTATTTCAAGAAATACCCATTTTGATTTCTGGGTAGTAATAGATCTAGCAGTATTTTTCACAAGTTTTCTCAAAAGTTAAGAACTTAAAGCAAACACAAATTAGCAATACTCTACAAGAAAAAAGAAGACAAAAGCATAATTAGCTTGCACACCCACTCAGAAAACGACGTTTTACTCACCATGAAGCGTGTGCACACTGGAGGAGAAAGCACATACGGAGCTACGACACGAGCTCTCCCCCCACCACTGTGACTGAACGACATTAGGCTAGGAAAGCACTTAAGCAGAAAAGTGTGAACATTGCCAGCCTCAAATGCAAGGCTCATTATCTTCAAAAGCATTTTGTTACCTTCATAATACCTGAAGTGAAGGAATAACGGCAGTCCCTTAACCAGATCACAGACCATAATATCTTCATCTGAAGTACTAATATTTCCAGTATTTAGTAATGTTCACACAGTCCTGGAATGTGATCTTTTGTGCTCTGATGACACTTAAATTAATAGCATAATTTTCTGGTACTTGCAACAGTTACTTCTCATTCTGAATTTTGTATACTTCTCTATAATACTTGCAGATAAATCTCTAATAACTGTTTTTATCTTTAACTTTGGGGGATTCAAAAGACTTAAATAGAACAGGAAAACACGAAGAGATTAAACTTTAATAAATTTAGTTTTAATATTAATTGTAATATTCCAATCAGGTATCATTAAATAAGTCTTTGAAATACAGTGCATTTATCTCCCTTGCATTTCTAGGGGTGTCCCCCCATGGTCTGGAGCTACATCTATGACTGAATGACTGAATCTATTCAGTCCAACACTGTTTTCTGCTACACGATCCAGAAAGGACTTGTCTTGTCTGTACTGACGTCATTTTACCTGACTCTGACCATTTCAAATACTTGCCCCTATTTTCAACAAGATGAGAGTATGTCGCCAATGCTAAAGGAAGCAGAGCCACCTCATGTTTCACAGAAATTTTTTATGAAAGAGAAAGTCTGTCAAGTGCATGTTGAAAGCAAGTAGACACTTTCAATGCTGTCTTTAGCTATCCCAAGTTGTACTGTTGTAAACTACTTTTTAAAAGAAATAAAGCTAATTAGTTATTTTTTAAGTCAGTCTAGCTTTGTCTAATTTGTCTATGTGTGATATACATGCTGTGAGCTTTGTCTGTGTGTGATATACATACTGTATGTGTGTGTGTGTGTGTGTGTCTGTGTGTGTGCCTATGGAGGCTGGAGGTCCAAGTCAGGCACCTTGCTCTACCATGTTCCACCTTCTTTTTTGAGACAGGGTCTGTCACAGATTCAGCTAGCCTGGCTGGCCAGCAAGCTCCAAAGATCTGCCTGTCCCTGCCTCCTTGCCACTGGGGTTGCAGATGTGTGCCACCACACACGACTTTCATGTGGTGCTGGGAATCCAAACTTGAGTCTTCAGGCTTGTGCAACTGAGTCATCTCCAGAGCCTATTCTAGCTTTTTGTTCTAGACTGTCACTAGCCCTACAAAGAAAAGGTTAGTTATATGTAACCTTTCCTCCCTTACACCAAAAATATAATAAAGACATGAAAGTAACAACTGACAGAAAGAATGACAGTGTGCTGCTGGTGGCTACTGACGCTCACAGCCAGGCTGGGGAGCTAACCGCAGTGACACATTTTAAAGATAATAACTACAACTGCTGCTTTTTCCTTGTGGGGCTCCAACTCATCTTCTGCTTTGCCTCCGTCTAGACCTCCCCATTCCACAGGTCCGACTTTCAACATTCAACTTCTTTTCACTACAAAAATGGGCGTAGGGAAGGAATTTCCTAGCTAAAAGTACTAATGCCTCCCAATTATTCTAGTAGATTATATTTGCACCAAGACATTTCATAACTGACATAATACTTCTGTTTTCAATGTACTAGATCTTTATCCTCAAACTGAGCACTTATTTTTCAAAGGGATGGTTTAAGGTAGTTTTAACATCTATTTATTATGTGTGCAAATAAATGCACGTAGGGAAGGAATTTCCTAGCTAAAAGTACTAATGCCTCCCAATTATTCTAGTAGATTATATTTGCACCAAGACATTTCATAACTGACATAATACTTCTGTTTTCAATGTACTAGATCTTTATCCTCAAACTGAGCACTTATTTTTCAAAGGGATGGTTTAAGGTAGTTTTAACATCTATTTATTATGTGTGTAAATAAATGCACACGTGCATGCAGACATGCCACACTGCACATGTGGAGGTCAGAGGATATCCTGTAGGAGGCAGTGCCCTCCTTGCAACAAATAGGTTCTGGGGATTGAATTCAGGTCATCAGGTTTAGCAGTAAGTGCTCTAACCCACCTCACTGGGCCCAAAAGAATGTTTTAAAATATACAAATATTTCCATAATAAGCATACCAATACTCACTCATCCCAAATTAGTCCTGGGAGGGGAGAAGAGGGCTGAGAAGGGAGAACAGTAGTGGGGGACAAATACGAGCAGAAAGCAAAATAATACATATGTATGAAAATGTCATTATGAAACTCATTATTTTTACATAAACTAAAAAGTTCATTTAAAATAAGTACAAACAGATTCAGTATATCAACTTACCAGACAGGGTCCTTGGCAGGAAAAAAATACGATAGAGAATGTTAATAAATTGCACATGTGCCTCACTGCTATTAGCTAAAATAATCTTTTTTATCTAAAAGTATTTTAAAACATAAATCATAGTGCTAAGAAGGCATGTGGGAACTGATGGATTTTCCCTTCTACTTTAAGCACCTTTTATATATGAATATTTTATTGATTTATGCTAAACAGTAAATGTTAGTTTAAATAATAGCAATATGTTAACCAATAAAAAAACCAAATAGCATTTCTCTTATCTTTTGTCTGTGTTTCTTAAAATACAATATGTATTTAGTCATCTGTCACATCCACACAGCCTGGTGAGATTGAAGCATGCCTCATTATTCATCTACATTTCATTTCTGAACATCACACAATTCACTGATATAGAATTTAAATGGAAATGATGTTTTAATCTTTAGGGCATATGTATTAAATAAATTATATATATATACACACATGCATTTATGTAT